GGCCGCTGTTGCACGGGGCCGTTCGTCAAAGCGACCGCGTCGTTGACAAACTCACCCCCGATATATGCCGACCATCTCCCCCCCGCCGACCACTCTCCCCCTCGGCCGTGGTACACCCTCGATTTTATTGTTTCCCTAATTCTAGCTCGGGTATTTTTAAACTCGTCTTTCCACCTCCGACGGCGATTCCAAATAAACGCATTAAAACCTAACGATCCGTCCTTAACTTCACGTTTTTTTTTCCCGTTTCGACTGAATATCGATTTTATCAAAATAAATTCCAGAGAGCCGAGAGAGAAACAGAGAAGAGATATCGTCATTCTATTCAATATCTCTTGAAAAATTAAAAACTTTGAATTGAAATAACGATTTAGAATTCATTGAGTTTTTTGTACGGTTTTCCCAGTTCCAAAAGTTTGCTGCCCTGTTGCGTCTCTCCGCTGGTACTTGAGGGAAGGAGGGGGGAGAGGGAAAAGTGTCACTTCTCGACGGTCTCTCGAAGCGCAAAGTGCAAATGTACGCCGTCTGAATTATTTTCCGACGAATATCCGCGTCACCTGTGAGGGGAGGGGGCGGCGAAGCGGAGTTAATGCTTTATCGCGATGCATCGCGCGGCAACGTGAATCGCGGAGGAGGGAGGGAGGGGGAATGGGATAGTTTGACGTCCGCTCCTGGTTTGACAAGCAACCCCTTAGATTTTCGCGAAGACGTCGCATCGTCGGAAAATTCGTCGTGTCGTCCGTGGAGCGGATTTCCCGGCGAATAAACTTTTCACGAGCGGCAAGATGTCCCTTCTCCTTCCCCTCTGCGCGTTACACGCGGAACGAAGTCGCGGTTGACGGAAACTTAGCAGGGAGAGACTTGCTCTCTCCGCTCTCGGACGCGGCTAACGAACGTAGGGGTTTTCTAGAATTTTGAGAAATACGGCGACGATGCATGTTAAACTGTAATCATCTAACGAGGCAAGAAAGGCAATTAAATAATTTCGCGAGTTAATTATTAACGTTACTTAAACGCCAATTTCAAGTGGCGTTGACACGTCTTCTCGCGTAATTTTTCAGAATCTTCCTTTTGAAGATTTAAGAAGAACGGCAGAATCGCTCGACGGAAAGAGACTGATTTTTATTTTCGTATCGCACCGCAATCGATTCTCGATAATATGCAATAATTTGACAGAATCGACAACACGAGCAATCATTTGCTCTCTCTCTCTTTCTCTCTCCCCCTATCTCTTTTATTCTAATTTGTTAGCAATTTCCGATCGTATTCACTCGTGTCCTCCAAATATATGATCTTCGATTAAAGCGCTAAAGTGAAATTACGCGCAATACAACGACAGATATGAAAATTGTACGACTGATAGAATGAGATAATTCGATCGCATTTCATTCAGACACGTCAGTAATTTGTAACACGAAGTAATTTGGTCGCCTCATTCTTAATCGCGTATCAATGGTTTAGAAAGGTGCAAATAATCAAATTAAAGAAGCCTTACAGAGCAATTTGTCCTTCAAATTAATTTTTTAATTTTAATTATATTTCAATAATGTAAAAAAATAATTGTAATTGCTCAGTATACATATCATAAAAATAAACAGATAAATGTTTTACAATAGATTGAAAGAACTATTTTATCCGGCGTTAGAAGTAACTGCAAATTGAGAATTTCGAAATAATTTTAAAATAAAGGACAAAATATATTTACGTCCCGCGTTTCCGCAGCTTCAATTTCTAAATTTTTGTAATAGATTCGTATATGTCTCGCAATAGATTCGTCACCGACAGATAAATAAATCGTCTCGATTGCCGGAAGAGGCGCACAAAGTGCCTCCATGGCTCTTACAAGTCGATCACCGATGTGACTCGCGATCTCCTCTCTCTCTCTCCCTCTGTCTCTCCCCTGCCTACCTCCCTCCTTCCCTCCATCTGTCTCTTTCTCTTTGTTTTCCGCTCCCAAAGCTCCGGGCAATAATGAACGCGTCAATTTTCCATCTCGTCCCATCCGCTCTCGCCCTTACTGCTCTCGTCCACCCCTCTCCCCCTGCCCTGCTATCGCAACCCCCTCTTTGCCCCTTCCGCGCCGAAGCTGTCCCTATTTTCTCGTGCAATTTTTTTTCTTCCAGCTCCGCTCCTTTCACCCGTTATCGGCCCCGCTTGCTAATGGCACGCGATTGCCTTTCGCGTTTATCCCGGGACACGGCGTGGCGTTCCCGCGCGTCCGACGACCGGGCGAGCGGGCGGGACGGGGGCAGGGGGAAGTCCCGCGGACTGCGCCCATATCCGCGACCTTTGGCCCACCGGCCGCCGATCGGCGTGTGTCGGCGACACGCGCGCGAGCCCATCCTGCAGGACGTTTCATTTCTCGCGACGCGCGGATCGACATTCGGCTCCCGCCCTCCTCCCATCCCTCTTCTCTCGTCCGCGAGAGAACGTTCGTTCGGTCACATTGCGAAATTAGCCCTTCACCGGCGGCAGCAAAGGAAGGAAATTTTTTGCCCGCGTTTCTCCTATTCTCCCCACGGCCTCTCTATATTTTCCATTAGTCTCGGCACAGCTTCCGTATTCCGGAGCACTTAAATTTCGCTCGACCCTCTCGTTTCCCCCGACGAAGTACCGGTTTTTTTTTTCTAATAAATATCGGGATGATTTATTTATTTGAATTGGAAAAGAAAAAAAGGAGAAGAGAAGCGTAAAACGCGCGTGCGCGCATATATGTGCGTTGTCCCGAACGAAGTCCGCCGCGAAGGGGTTAAAATCTCACCGAATCATCTCGAAGGGTTTTAAAAATTCAATAAAGGCTCGCGGAGCGCGAGCAAATGGATCTTAAATATAACATCCCTCCAATTCGACATGTCCCATCGATATGCCATCGGTGGGAGGGGAGGGGGTAGGGAGAAAATGGACGCGGAGATAGAGCGCTCTGTCTCTCTCGTACTCGCTCTCTTTTTTAAATTTACATAATTGAAAAGGAGAAGAGAGAAAGAGAGAGAGAGAAAGAAAGAGAGAGAAGAGGGGAGGACGCGACGCGCAACGCGAAAAGTCGCGAGACGATCATTTCCAATTTCGAACTAATTTTACGGTCAAATTGAAAACGACGCAGTCGTTGTTATTATTATAACCGAGGAACACCGCCTATCGATCGGCAAGGGCCATTAAACTCGAAACGACAAAATATAGTTATTTCATAGATGAATGGAGGACTATTACGTTCGAATGGCTATTAACAATTTGGTGCGGCCTGGTGATCAATTATTATGTATTCATTTCTGTGTGTGTGTGTGTGTGTGTACGCGTGTCTGTGTGTCGCGAGTGCATGTGTGCACGTCGGTAATTTCGGACCGGCGGGCACTTTTTCCCTCCCGCCTTTAATGCGAAGTCAACGATTCTCCCTCTCCGCCCATATCGGTACTTACGAATTAATAGGAGCCCGTCAGCTCTTCAATTCAATTAAAACACACGCCACGGCGCTCGCGGACGGCGCGGCGCGGGGAGGGAGCCGAGAATGCGCGCCGAGAAGCGTGAATAAAATTGATTTGTCGCCGATATCGGACACTATATACATTCGTATGCGTCATTAAGGACCAACCGGTTGAATAACCCAGATCTGCTTAATTCCGAACGGTGGTGCGGCGGCGCGCGGACGACGCGGCGGACCGTCACGTCGCGTCGCGCGAGATTTTTTCGTGTCTATCTCTTGCACGCGTGAATACGTAGGTACATACATACATACGTACGTAGTCCGCGCGCACGGTCGTTGACGGATGAAAATTTGATTCGCGACCGACTAATCGAGTCGCTTACTCGGCACACAACGACACGTTCATTCAAACTACATTAAAACGCCACAATGATACATGTATGTACATATATGTTTATAAGGGTGTGTATATAAATGCATATACATACGTTATACATATATATATATATATACACATCTTTCTTTCTTGCCCAGCAACAATGGAACAACATTTACTATTCCGCTCTCATACAGAAAGACAAACACGAAACTCGCTCCACGGACTCTCTTCCCCTCTTCCCTTCGCCGTCCTTCTTTCCTCTCCCCTCCTTCCTCTGCTCTCGCGGCCGCTCCGGATCCTCGGGTGCTCTCGCAGACTCTCGGAATCGAATTCCCGATGCACTCGTGTTCCCGAGTCCCGCGAACTCGCGGATCCCGGGGGGGGGCGCAGCGCGAACGATCCACGAAAGGATCGCATGATCTGCGTAGCGCGAGCAAACCTGGGACTCTCTTTCCCTCCCCCTCCCCTCCCGCTTCTCCTCCGTAAAGCTCGTGTCACATCACCACGTGGCGGACAGAGATGTGGATCCGGATAACGCGTGTCATGAATCGTAGAAGTAGAGGATCATATCTCTATTCCGCGCCGATTTCCAAACTGAATCCTTGGCCACTTCAATCCGATTGGCTGGTCAACGATTCGCCGTTCGCAGTCGAAAATATCCAATCCGTCCGCGTTCGCGATGCGTGGTGTGACACGGTCTTTGAGGCTCTCATCCTCTCGGAGGAGTCGCGGGTTAAGAGAGCTCCATAGGATCCTCGCGCCAGCGGAGCGTCACATCGCATCCTTCCCCTTTCTCCCTGATATCCCCCGTACCCCCTCATACGAAAGAGAGAATGCGCATCTTTATGACACACTTGCATCCGCCCCCCTGCCCTTTTCGTACCCCCTTAGTGATATGTATGATTTATTACCAGCCAGCCAGTAGCTCTGAGTTTGGAATTCGTGTATGCAACTCAAGTTTCCTTCCCTATACATATATATATATATATATAATGACTTGTGTACATGCTACGTTACGTACCTATATTTACCCTATTAAATGTTATATCTGTCTTGGACGCGAAAACGAAGCGAGAGAGAAAAGATAACAACGACCTGTCAAAAAAAAAAAAGAAAGAAAAAGATAAAAAAAAGAGAGAAAGGTCGTGCGACATTCAGCCACGTTCCTACTGACTAACATCGGTCTTTTTTTTCTGCTTTCAGCTGCACAGATTCCACAACGCGGAAGTAAGTACGATTAAATTACGTTTGAAAAACCGCAACTCTGCTCTCCTTCATCCCCTTCGCTCCTCTCCCTCTTCCCCCCTCCCACTTCCACTCCCGCCACCTCTGGAGTCTCTTCCCCATCCGCCCTCCCTCTCGCACCTCTTCTCGCTCCGTAATTGCGATTATCGTCGATTAGACGTCGTTTAGGGGCCGTAGAAGGGCAAGGATGCGGAACTCTACACGTGGAAAATGTCACGGCAGTGTGCGTCGGGGCCTTTCCCGTATCGCGAGACTTGCAAACGAGAGCGCGAATCGAAGGACTTGATTAAGCGGTCGGCGCGCGCGAGAATTCCATTCTCCCCCGGACGTCGGAACTTATTTCCCGAGTTGCTTCGTATTCCGCGTCTCAATACTAACGCTTAGTCTCGGTTAATTTGTGAGTCTTAATGCGAGATGTTAAAGAGTCGTAAAATACAATCGCGACAACCTTTCGAGAAACGCGTAAATCTATTAATTATCAAATGTTGTCATTCTCTTAGAATTTTTAGAATTGTTTATCTCTCTCGGATGTCAGAATATTCATAATCGAAAACTTAGAGTAACTGATCTTAGAATCATGATCATCTATCAATCATAATTTTCGGATCCCCGAAATTCTTTTTTGTGAAATTTACATCGCAAAATGTTAAAAATCGTGATTTAAAGATCTCGAATCTGAAGCCTGCGTCAAATTATGAAAAATTGTGTCGTGTACCAATCTCTCGTCATCATAAAGAGGATCAAAATTAGGCGTGATTATCGAGATTTCACCTCGCGATTATCATCTCTTTTTTACGGGCCCCAGTCAGGAAGCTCTAAATATATTGTATACGTCTCGATTCCCAATCGCATGTCGTATTTACGTGAACGGGAACACGCGTGAATCATTTTCTCTCTTTCTTTCTGTCTCTCTATACCTATCTATTTTCCCCATTTCTCTCTGTAACTATCTCTCTCTCACGAATTTCTCTAATTTCAGCATGCAAGAGGAAAGACGAGATGGCGAACCAGGCAGAACACCAACAGCCCGCCCCCAAGAAACCGCGGCTGGTTTTCACAGACCTTCAGCGCCGTACTCTACAGGCTATTTTTAAAGTGAGTACCACACGCGCGCGCGCACACGCAGACACACACGTACGTACACATATACACACACAACATGTAACTTCTTACCCCTTTGTGATCGATAGTAATTGCCCTCTTCTTCTCCGCCCCCGTCGGGGCGATATGCACAGGCAATTGAATATTGAGAGAGAGTCCGCGCTACCGCCGCTGTCGACTGATCCGCCGCTTGTTAGCGGCGACTAACTTTTGCATACGTGCATATACGTACGCCGAGAGAGAGAGAGAGAGAGAGAGAGAGAGAGAGAGAGAGAGAGAGTACGAACTTGCACTCATCGCGCTCGACGTCGCGAGGACACCTGTGCCCCTCGCTGTGTCGGTCGATAGACCGTTTTCTTAAAACGTATAGGCCTCTATACACGGGGCATCCCTCCCTTTCCCCCGCTCCGCACCGAGTAAAACCACCCCTCGCGTAGGAAACAGATGGTACACGCAATCGCGGAGTTACGTAAGATATCCACGACCAGGCTTCTAAATACCAAACGGTACAACCGAGTTTCGAAGGGGAGAGAGACAGCCCTTTCCCGAATAATGCCTATTTACTCGTGGCGATCGCGAGGAGGAAACACCGTCTCCTTCCCCCGCTCTCTCCCTCCCTTGCGAGATGCTGGTGGCCTCCCGGAGGGTAAACAGAGAAATAAATTTTGCGAACGCGAGGCCTATTATTCCTAATTTGGACGGGAAGGAAACGGGGGAAATTGGCGAGAGGGAGAGAGAGAAAGAGAGAGTTGTCGGTCCCGGGATTTTCCCGCGACGGAAAAACACCGTCCGCGCGCCGTGTGGCCGCGCGGATACCTGAAATTCAGTTGCGCGCGTCAACCGACTGCCGTGCGCTCTCTCTCTCTCTCTCTCTCTCTCTCTCTCTCTCTCTCTCTCTCTCTCTCTCTCTCTCTCTCTCTCTCTCCCTTCGTCTATCGATCGGTCTTGAATAATTTCGCGGCCGGTTCTTTACTTATGCGCTCCGTATTTCAGCCCGCTGATTGCAACGCCGCCTGCCGTTGCCGCGCGCTGCTGCTGCCGGCGGTCGTCGTCACCGCCGTTCAAGAATGGCCATTGATATTATCCGTTTTCTCATTAGCGTTTCGCGGGCGAGGGGGGGGGGGGGAATCTAGCGTCGTTGAAAACGCGCGTTTTGACCGCGCGGCGTTCGCGCGCGTTTCCTCCAATCGTGTCGAGGCGACGATTATAATGACCGGAATGCCTCAAATGTGAACGCCGTTTGGACAGGTTTTTCGATCGATCCGCCGTGTGTTTCACGCCAACTACGAAGAAATTTATATATTTCGATGTTTTATTTATTTTACAGGCTGATTTAATTAGTGTAATAATAATATTTGCACGTATAATTGAATTAGATTCATTTTTGCATTAATAAACAGTACAGCTATTGAATTGATTTAAACTTTTCTTGGTCTTTGGAAAAGGGCAGCTGAAAATGGCGAACGGTGTGCCCAGACTCTTGCTCGAGAATCTCGAGCAGCAGCAGCAACAGCAGCAGCGCGTACGACACGCTCGGGATGACCTAGTCGTGACCCAAAGGCACACGGCGATTACCGGCGGAGAATTAACGAAACAAAAAAAAATAATATCGTTAATACGGTCAATCACGGGGTACGCGCGCCCCGGCACGAATCGGAACTCGCGAAATCACGTAACCCGCCGCGCTTATACACGTCGTTACGTCCGCGCGGCTATTGCAGCGAACTACGATTACAATTACAGGCAGATGCATCGCGGAACAATGAAACGTGATAACACGTTTCCGATGGCGATAAATTATCGCATAAATAGCGGCCCCCGCGGGGGTGGTAACGGAGTGACGGGGGGCGGGAGGAGGGGGGGGGAGGTAGGGAGGAGAGCGCGTACGCGAAATTGCCTTTTCTGCGAAATCAACTTTTCTGCTTTGTCGCAAAAGCGATTGCTTTTAGATCGAATAGAATTTTTTTGCGCGATTGACGGCGGGGCGGGGAGGGGCGGGATGCGAATATTACTCTTAATGATCAATTTTTTTTTTTCGGCCGGCACGCGCGTAAGGCCGCGGCCGTGCACGCAACGTGACGCGTGCGCCTGTCGTTTGGCATCAAATTTGATAAATCTCGAGCGAGAGAGAGTCGCTCTCGCTCGATCGGCCGGATTATTGGAACGATATTTCATAGAGAACGGAATATAATCCGGAATGCGATTGCAGAATCGTGTGCAGGAATCACGCGTCGCCTATTATCCCGACATATTCTATTTCACCGAACCATTTTCGGTTACGAAAGTCAATCGCGGACCGAAAGAATCGCCCGCGGAGCTTAATCGGATTGATTTAATCAGAGACGGCGATGCCGTCCCGGCGATCGATTTCATTAAGAACCCCCGTATCCGGGGTTAAGTGGCAAAACACTCGGCTGAAATAAACCGGGTAAATTCGCCAAATAAAATATATAACTGTAATCCGCAGCGTGTGCGTGCGATACCTGATGTGGACAGAATATTTAATTGAAAAACTACTTACCGGCGTAGAGATCTAGAAATGCCGTTCTTAACACCGTTGACTGCCATGGCGGTCATCCGACGTCTAACTTTTCAACCGGTTTTCCGGTGGTCACGTATGATAGGAGCTGAAATGAAATTTTTTAAAACGTTTGTAAAATAAAAAATAAATGCCGTTTAATATAAAATTTTGAATGACATAAATAAATAACGACATGAAGTAAAAAGTGTGCAAATTCAGCGCAACCACTTTCGCGAGGATATGTACTGGAAAAAAAAATCTGGTTTCATTAATTGGAAATCTGAATTCAACAAAAGATACAAATCAGAGATACACTTATAGTTAAATCTATCGAACGTTCCGGTCGAGATAATCGGAAATTTAATTGTGACAAAAGAAATTCCAAATTGGCACGATTAGAATGCATTTTGTACGTGAAAATCACAAAGAAGAGAATGAAAGGCGCAATATCGCAAGATCTTTCATCCAAAAAATAAGTAGATTTCTGGGTGTCACAAACAAAATTTATCATAATTTTTTTGTATCTGCTAAAATATTGGGCGCGTTTACCAGATAAAGTAGATCAGTGAACGCTCAGTAATTTTTTAATATGATTGGTTTTTGCCTTTAGCTCTTCGCTGGATCCGGATTTTTTTTTGAATGAAGAAACCAATCGTAACAACGAATCATTGAGGGCACACTGATCTGTTCTGTCTGCTGAACGCGCCTATTGTTTGTCACATATAGAATTTATAGCAGCAACATTCTAGCAATACCTTTTAGAAAATATCTTCATTCGTCTCTCGCCGCTGGTCTTTTCTGTGTAGGTGTCACAGTCAAACTTTACAAACAAATATGATTGCCCTTAACATGAATAGGCGCCGCAGAAAAATTTTTTTCTAAATTTCACAAACAGTTCGGATATAAATTCTGTCTCTGTCATTCAGATTGATATCAAATATACGCGATATCATAGTATGCTAATCATTTATCTATTTTCATTAATTTTTCGCAACCAAAAAATTTTGATTGTACTTGCAAGACCATTTTTTTTATTGCCCAAAAGTGAAATCGAAAATGAGAGTAATTGAAAGATGTATTTGACGGTACAATTTTTAGTTAAGTATCGAAATTAATTCAAGAATCTGATAATTTCTAGAACTTAAACGTGCTAAAATGTATTAATATAAAAGACTCGCTCACACAACAGGAAATTTTGATATATTTAACAGGAAAGAATGAATCATACTCGTCTGGTAAATCCTACAAGAATTCTAATTCGGTTTGATTTTCGAGCTGACACTGGTTGAATCTACCAGATTTCCAGTTAATGCAACCAGATTCTTTTTCCAATGTGATAATTAAAATTCCATTGTGGCATACAACTATAAAAACAAGTAATAAAATACAAAACTTGCTGAGCAGGAAACGCGTTAAATAATTAACCAAAAAGAAAACGACAACAAATTCACGGAGTTTAAGAATGTGAGGGAAGACCTTCTGAACAGCGGGGACATTGACGAGAAACGAATGCGCTCTGGCTGTTAACAGTCAGCCGACAGCATTGGCCTGCGAGTGCGAGCTTACGGTTGGGAACTATGCCAAACAGTCGAGGGGAGCCACGCTTGGCGCGACAGTCTCGCGTTTAAGCGACGATCAAAGATCCTGCGCTGCGGGAAACACGCCCGCGAGAGTGATAGGGATCTTGATCACAGCCGTCGCGGAAATTCGCGGAATAACGAAGCAGAAACGGATGAAGCGCGGATTTCGATCCTCGCGGAGCGAGATCCGCCATCGCGCGGGAGTCTACCCTCCCCTCCTCCTCCTCCTCCTCCACCACCCTGCTAATGACGTCCACAGCCGCGCGTTTCGTCCGTATCGCGATCGCCGCCTCGCGTGCGATCGCGCGGCACACGAAAGGCACGAACGAAATAAAAAAAAAAACCACAGTTTGCTACGCCTCGCGCCGATTCTCTCTCTTTCTCACTTTCTGGACGAACGCCAAATAGTTCGCGAATTGACCTTAGCCCACTTCGCGCATTCCGGCGCGCAAATCTTTCCCTCTCCCCTCCCTCCGCCCCCTCGTCACCCGCGCGATTATCGGATTATCACGCGGGAATTTCTTGATCCGCGGTCGGCATTCCGTTCGGGCTGACGTTCGCGAGTGCCTTGAGAGAGGGGGAGTGCCGCCTGCCTGCGGGGGTGCCCGAGGAGTATATTCGATAAGGGAAACGCTCTGGATATATCGCGAGTCAGACGGAAGTTCACGCTAACGTTTGATGTAAACCGAGATATTCTATGCTGCTGTAACACACATTGAATGGAGATTTATATGAATACGATGCTCGCGAAAAATGGAAGAATTGATAATCGAAGGATAGATTTCTCTCGCATTAAATGAATCGCGTTTCGAGATATATGTAATGGCGATCGCAGGGGGGAGGGAGGGGAGGGGGAGAGAGGATGATCGTACTCACGAAGGCAATTTTCCTTT